CCAAGAAAAGACCAAATGGGGTCACAGAGTCAGACACAACAGAAACAACTAAACAGTAATGACAAAGTCAATAAGGGTATTACTAATGAGTGATACCTATATATTTAAGTATATTTTTATTGAAGATAGTTTAGAGGTTAATGGTCATTGGTTTTTTCTTTCTTTCTGCAAACTGCTTATGCTCAAAATTTAAAAAGAAAAAGAGGTCACTAACTTAAAAGCTTAATAACCGTGTCGGAATTTATAATATGTGAAATAACACCGTAAAAAGGGAGTAAGGGAATCTTTCTTCTACAGAGCAAAACAATAAGGAGAGGTGAGAAGCTATCTGTTGGCTATGCTATGGCTTTCATTACCTGTATCATTCATATAATCAGAACTGTAACTATAAAAACAGAATAAGATTTAAGGCAGCTCCTTGATTAAAATCTGAATGAGATCCACTACAACATAAGGTCACCAAAGCTTGAATCAGTTTACTTCTCCCAGAATTACAAAACAGCCTTGTTTTTATTAAGCTACCTCCCAACCCTACTCTCACCCCCCCCACACAGACCAAAAACACCCTTAATTCAACAAGGTCTTACGATTCTATTTATGATAGTCAACTTCCATGAGGCAAAAATGGGTTGGAGGAAAAGACGCACTGCTTTACCTTGTACCAAGGGTACTGATGTTCCTGAACTAGGCCTTAGAAGTTTAAAAACGTTAATTCTTAAAGCCAAGTCTTAAGTCCCCAAAATGATATTCATTTAAGAGATGAAGAAGGATCTAGTCCTAGCGAGAAAAACATAACCATTCTACTGAAGGATACAGGGTAGAAAATCATAACCAAACAGCTCTGAAAGTTTGTCTGTCACATTAAAGTTTTGAAGCATGAAAAACAAGCTGACTAAATGTAGTAAACATAAAAATGTGGAAAGCAGTCCTCTGTCATTTTCATATTAAGTGCTTTTGTAATTCTCAAAATAATGTGACTTTACAAAAATGACAAAGGTAGCAGTAGAAAATGTAGGTTCACATTACACTCTGCTTTTCAGTATCAATTAATGGTTTGGGATTTATTGAGCATCCATCCATGTAAATACAATGCATTTAGCATCTATTAACTGGAAAATTGCTTCTCCTACTTTCTATCACCTGGGTAAGGCTCTTGTGAGAACCATGATACAGGAACAGCTATCAATAAATTATCTTTCCTACCATCCTGATTAGCAATCATTTCCTTGCCCTAACCTCAGCCTTTCCAACAGAAAGATGATAATGCCTCTTCTGAAAAGCAAACAATGGCCAGCCAAAACCTACTCATACAAGTGCCTAAATGGTGGCTGTGATATAAAGCACTGGGTACTGTTTAACTGATTAAGCCAGCTGTGGCCCCAAATCCCCAGGGGGTAGTCTTGAAACAGATTCAGCTTTCCAGCAGTCCTCTAACCCAGCAAGATTCAACAGTGGGACTTTGGGAATCAGTTCAAGTAATATTGAATCTCTAGACAGGTAGCATGCTTTGGTTCACCCAGAACTTTCCTAACTAATGTGACCTTGGCTTCACATCACTCTACTTGCTCTGTCCCCAAGATCTCTGTTATCTGCTAAATGCCTAAAATGGTAAGTTATCTGGTTCTTCCCAACAATCTTTTTTTCCATTATACTGTATATGACAATTCCTAACAATTAACATCTTATAATGACAAATGAAGGCAGTTGCTCTCCTCTCTGCTCCTTGAATATCTTCCAAAAAGTTATCTCAAAAAAAGTATTAAAATGACTTAACTAAAATAAGTCTCATGTACTTGAAGGTATTCTGAATTACTGGGTCAGTAGAACAGTAAACTTACATTAATTCACTCTATAACACTCACACACACCACCTACCTCAGTACACTCCCCAGACCTTAAGAATAATCAATTATCTAAAGCTAATTAAATTTAAGTTTTTGTTGGGGGGGGAGAATTAACTGTACAGCTAAAGTTTCTTTTCAAATCACTATCCAGAGGACTGAAAAGTAATTCTTCTCTGTAACTCTGATGCTAACTACATACTCTTGCTGCTATTTTACCAAACAGTTAGGTAATGTATCAAGGGATTAACTTTTGGACTAACAGTCAAGTTTCTGATGTAATCATCAAGACAATGTTGATATTATGAACCACTTCCTTTACCAATGACAAATAAGAAAAAATAAACACATGTGTATGACTATTCGGTTCTACACAAAATGAAATAACACCAACAATTAGTAATTATAAATGTGTTGATAGTACTATGTTGTCTTCTTCCTAAGTCACACAGGAATCTTTCATCTAACAATTTATATAAATTCTCAAGAAGGCCCACGGGCACAATTTCAGGAACAACTTTTGAACATAATTGAAAACCTATAGAGAAAGCAATAGTGGAGAATTTAGGCAACAGAGTTCATCAAGTTACTAAAGTGAAGCTAACTCTAAAAAAGGCCTAAAGATAAAGCAAACAATGACAGATGCTAGCCTTATCTTAGGGAAAGTGCCATAGTCACTAACCAGTACTGTAAAAGTAAATAAAACCGTGTCAGCATTGTTATTGTTGTTGTTCAGCCATTTTTTTCAGTTATGTCCAACTCTTTATAACCCCATTTGAGGTCTTCTTGGAAAAGATACTTGAAGGAGTTTGCCATTTCCCTCTCCAGTTCATTTTACAGATGAGGAAACTGAGGCAAACAGGGTTAAGTGACTTGCCTAGGGTCACACAGCTATTAAGTGTCTGATGCCAGTTTTGAACTCAGGAATACAAGTCTTTCTGACTCCATGCCTGGTGCTCCATCCACTGTGCCACCTAGCTGCCCCTATATCAGCATAATGGGCTAGTTTTTAATGTTTCAAAAGCAGGGACTTTACAGTAACTATAACTGCACTACATCCTATAAGAAATTTACATCATGCTGACCAAGTTTCAGTTCACCTTGACTGATTTCTAAATATGTAATCTCAGACCATTCCAAGAACAAAGGAAAGAGAACAACCAATAACTTTATAAGTCTGACACATTTACCAGGAGTCACTTAATAATCTGGACACCTAAGTTGTCATAAAGGATGATTCCAACTGGAAACCTTGAATTTTGACTATTACTCCCCATTTCTGATTTAAGAAGTGAAACTGAACTTCAGCTACCTTAAGTAGAAAGATGTTCTGTTTGCCAAATGTCTTCAATTTGTTCAAGTACATACTCTTCAATAATAAGTATCAAATGTCCAAATCAAAAGCTGAGTTCAAGCAACAAGGTTACAAAGTCTTGTCTGGTGTACTTTCATAGTAAAATATGATCAAAAATTTTAACTGACAAAAAGCTGAATAGGCCCATCCTAAAAATTCAAAGTGAATATGTGTATCCAGTAAAAACAGAAAGCCACTCCATCTACCTACATTACAATCTATAAGAAAATGAAATAAAGCTGACCTGTGTAAGGATTGACAATTACTTTTACCTTTAAACCAAGAGATTACGTTTTTTGTCCTATACTATACTTGCACCCAGTGACAAGCCAAAAGCAAAGGGGAAAGTTCCAGGGTTTCTGTCTGGGAGACTCTGGCACATTTCTCTAAAAAAATAAAAGTATCATATTAAGGAATCTAAGTCCTAACATTAAAAATATGTGTACCCTACTGTTACTTGAGTCAACACTATATTCCCCCCCATTACAAGTTAACAAATACCTAGGCCCCTTTCCCAACTAAATGTTCTGACTGACTTGAAGATCCCTTATAAGAAAACCTATGAGGTCTTGTAACTATCACAAATATAACCTGGGGAGACATCACTGATTTAAAATGAAGAGCTTTTCATTTTGAAAAGAAGCAAGCTAGAGCATCATCATACTTATTACAAAATCCTATCTGTCATATTTAGGACACTGGCATCTAAAATTCCTTGAGCCTGTGTTTGTAAGTTGCTCTGAAACATCCTTTAATTTGGTTTGCTCTGCATGTGCTGATATAGGGCTAAATTTCAGTGTGATCTTTCAGTTCATCTGAAAGCAACTTGTAGAAACCACAGAAATATCTGAAACTCTCAAAACCACCACCCCCAACACAAATTTTCCCTTCACAACAAATAATGTGCCATCGAATAGATTTCCTGTTTCAAAATGGAATAGTAGATGAAAGAAACCGTAATTTAGCCATTAACAAGAGCACAGAACTTTTAAAATGAAGATGTTTTCCAAAGATGAAATGGAAACTATTTCAAATTTTGCTTACTCACTTGAGAGCTAATCTGTGTAATTGTTTCCCAGATAAATGCTCTCCACTTCATGCAGTGGATTGTCATAAGAGGGCTTTATAAAATGCTTTGCATAAATTACCTGTTTAAGAGCTCCTCTTCTGGTCTAAGGGCAACACAACCTCATATAAGTCAGAACAAACATTTCCAAACTATTCTGACATAATATACTAACATTAAGCAGCTTACTGCATGAGCTTTGCATATCTGAGTTCTCTGGAAGAACTTTGAACCTTAAAGAGTAGGACAGAAGTAAAAGCAAGATCATTTCATATCAAGACATCAAGCTTTCACAACAAATACAAAGCCAAGAAGTGAGCAAAATGTCCAATTCAAATCATAATGTCTTCCATCAGAGAACTCAGAACTTGTAGGAAGAACCTTGGGGATGATCTATCCCAACTCCTCATTTGTATGAAAGGATACTTAAGGCCTGAAATATCAGCTACAGAAGTTTAGTGATTTGTCCAAGGTCACATAGTCAGGAAGTAGCAAAACTATTGCTAGAACCTAGGTCGAGTCAAGCATTTTTTAACCATTTGTTACGTTCTCCTGACTTCCAGTCAAATGCTATGTAACAAATATACCAACAATTCACAGAAAAATTATGGGCAAATAGATCTTGCATTCATCACAAGGCTTAGGGTTCATCAAAAACTTATCATTGCCAAATGTCATCAAATGCTAAAGTTGTAAGGGACACCAAAGATAATATACCCAGAAAAGAGTAAATACTCACCACTTTGTCCATGAGTTTCCAAGTCTTTTCAACAGTTCTTCGATCAGCTGCAGCTTGTTTAGGTGGTCCAACTGCATCCTGAATAGCATCAATAATGCCCAGTATCCGTCCTTTTCGGGGGTTTCCTCCTCGGCCACCAGGGTTCCGGCCATTCATAGCATTAGCCATCTGGGATCTCAGCTCTTCAGCTCTTACGAGAATACTGAAAACAATTTTTTAAAAAGTTACCAAAAGAGACTCACATGGTTCTTAAAATATTTTTCCCCAACAGAAAACTGAATGTGCTAACTCATCCCACCCACCTCCTTCAGCAAGGAATGCAGTGGATAGAGTAAAATCAGCCCAGGGTTCAACTTTTAGACAAGGAGAGTATGGATTCACACTGGCAATCTACACAGAGTGGGTGTCAGGGAAGTGACCCTGACTCTGCTTTTAGAAAACTAACAGTTGTGGACAAATATTACTCACATTTGAAGGAGCACAGGCCGGATTACATTACACAGCTCAGAACAAAAAGCAACATAAATACAATCACGCCAAATAGATAAGAACACAATGTTCTCCTCATCTCTTTTCCCTTAAACCCCTCTCAACACACACAAAAACAAACGAAGCCACTGAGGAAACATCTTGGGGTCTTCACTTGGGGAAACCCATTTTCATCCTGTACTAGATTCCAAGTTAGGCAAATCAAAAAATTATTATACACTTCATATGGGGGGCACGTCTGTGCTCAACAAAGACTGTACGACTTGTATTTTGTTCCCCTTTAAAAAAAAAATCTCAAACAAGGAGATACATGACCCCAAATCCGAAGTTATCTTTTTAAAAAATGTAACGTCAGTAGTTACCTATAAGTTAGTTAATAACCAAACTGGAAGGGGCTAGAGGGAGTCCTTTCCTTCCTTTCTTTTTTAAAGAGGGAAAGAACTGAAGGAGGGAAAAAGGAAGAGGGAAGATCACTTCTTCTGATTCAGCCCTCCTCCTCCCCCCATCAGGAAAAAGAAAACAAAACAAAACACACACACACACACACACACACACACACACACACACACACAGCTTTGTTTCTGGATTTAAAAAAAAAAAATAGAACCACCACTACCCAGCTGCCCCCACTGCTTTTCATCCACAGTTAGGGAGGAGAAAGGTAGAAAGAAGGAAGGACAAAGTATCCTTTCTCCTCCAAGCAACAGAAGCAGCAGTTGGCTCGTCTTTGCCCTCTCCTGCCGTCTTTATACAGCCCATGCCCAAGTCGCTTCCAATCTCCGCAGCTTCTATCCCTCTCTTTCTGCCCCTGTCCCCCCCACACCCCCCGCCCCATTCTGGGGTTCGGGTTATTAAATACCCCTCTTCAAACAGCAGCGGCAGCAGCAACAAGGGCAGCAACAGCAAGCTGGGGGCTCTCCTCCCGTCCTCGTCCGTAGCTCGTGTCTAGCTGCACAAGGAGCGCTTGGCCCGGGAGAAACATTGAGTCTCCTAGGCGGAGCTCTTCCTCGCCCTCTCTCCCGGCTATAGAGGACTCGGGGGAAGGAAGGCACACACACGCGTGTGCGTGAGGCTACACTATACGCGCACGTCGGGGCGGGGGCCGCGGGAAGGAAGGGAGCACCGACAGAGTGAGATAAGACAGCGATTCCAAAGGCAGGGAGCTCCTTCCAACCAGCTTCAAGCAAGACGTGGAAAAAAAAAGACAACAATTTAAGGTTGAAATAAATCCACACCCGCCTCCTATTTCTCCCCACTCCTCCCCCCTCCTCTCCTGGGCCCGGGGACACACCAGCAGCCGCACAGGCGGGAGGAGGAGGAGGAGACAACTCACAGCACACCCCACCCCTCTTCCCCTCCCCTCCCCCTGGTAACTTACACTCAAACACAGAGACGTGAGGAGGAGGAGGGGCCATGGGACCGGGAGGGAGAGAGAGGAGGCAGGAGGAAGGGTTTAGCCAATCATACTAAAGCTGAGATTACAGGACAGGGGTCTTGACCAATGGGAGATAGACCCCTTTTTTCGCCCCGCCCCTCCCTCCACGTCTTCTAGGTTCCCCAGGGCTGCGAAAGAACCACCCCCCACATACACACCTACACATTCACACACATATACATACATATATAAACACACACGTCCCAGACACAGAAGAAGGAATATAAATATGTGGCCCATTAAGGGAGAGGGACAAGGAAGGGAAAAGGATTCAAACCCCCAGGGAGTTGGTCAATGGGGGCTATGAGGAGAGATGGGCGTGACCATCTGGAGGGAGAGTAAAAGCCAACTAGGGGATAAGAGGCGGGACTTCCTGCTTTGTCCACCTTCCTAGTCTTTTGTTTCGTAGCAACAGTGGGTGGGAGGCAATGAGTGGCACTTGAGCCTGGGTTAGAGTGGGAAAAGCGGCAGAGATTCTGCTTGCTGAGGATGCCAGAAAGGACACTTCTTGCCTAGGACCTTAGTTTTTAGTAGCCACTGTGAGGAAGAGATTGAGCTGGAGTGGGCCGCTAATAGAAATAGCGACCGATTTGGCAAACCAGTGTCCTCTTCCAGCTGCTAGTTCAGGGAAGGAATTGTATTTCATTGCACTGAAGGGAAATGGTCAACTTTACAGTGGCCATTCAAAGAAAAGAAGACTTTCTGCTAATACGTAACATTTTTTTTTATTTCTAGGCTTATCTGAACTATATCTTCCCCTTCATTCCTTATTCTTGTTCTTCTTCACCTAGAATAGCATTTTAAATCTCTCTCCTTTCTTCATAGAATTGCTTAAATTGGCCATGGGGAAAGAGGGGTAGAAATATATGTCCGATTTATTAAGGGCCTCTCATATGCCAAGCACTGTACTGGGCACTGGAGGGACAAATAGAAATAAATGTTAAGCAGCCCCACCTTTCAAGGAGCTCATATTCTAATGGGGGAGAAAACATATCTTCCTTGACTTTTTTTTTCATTTTACTTATCCTCTAATTAATACTTATGTAATCTGTATTTTCCATATTCTTTAATTCTTCATCTCTTGCATTCTAGCTTTCTTCTCAACCAAGGTGCTCTTGGGTTTCAACTTCTTGATTGTCATTTTCATGAACCTCTTTTATTTTATTTTGCATTATTAAATACAGTGACTCTTGGCTCTCTGTTCTTGCATTTCTCTGTTCTTTATCCTTTTTACTCAGTCTTTTTGATCTTTTCTTTCATTAATCACTGGTGTTCTCTAATAACTCAATCCTTCTCAAGCTTAATATTGAATGTGTGCTGAAGTCAAGGTTCACTTAGACAGAAATAGATATTCTTATTTGTTACAATTTGCAACCTTGAACTTTAGGTAATTAGTAATTTTCAAATTGGAGTTGTTTTGTTTTGGTCAACCAAATAGAGAACAGGGAAAGTATACCTTTAAAGCCATTAAGCAAAAGAACTACCTTTATTTTTGCACTTTATCACAGTTGGGTCCAACTCTTCAACCCCATTTGGGTTTTTGTAGTGTTTTTTTGATTGTTTGTTTATTTGGGGTTTTTTTTTTTTTGGCAATGATACTGGAGTGGTTTGCCATTTCCTTCTCCAGCTCATTTTACAGATGAGGAAACTGAAGCAAACAAGATTAAGTGACTTGCCCAGGATCACACAGTTAGTAAATTGTCTGAGGCTGAATTTGAACTCAGGAAGATGAGTCTTCCTGACTTCAGACTCAGCACTCTCCACTGCTCCACCTAGCTGCCCATGAATCATTTACATTTCACATATACAATCATCTGATCTTGTTGCTTTTTCAAATTTTCTACTCCTGCTAATTCCCCCTTTAGGAAGAGTAGAGATAATTTAAGGATCTAATCCAATATATGAATACATAGCTACCAGCACTTATTGTAATTAGATGCATTCTAATCAATTCTAGGTTCGGCAGTTATACAAATGAATTTGAGAACAGTTTATATAAAATAAGTTGTCTATAGCAAACTATGTAACCATGTTTAAATGGAATAGATGTCAACATAGACTACTGCTCTTAGAAGCCATTTAAGCAATAAGGATATCTTGAAGGTAACTCTTGAGTAATTTGCATGCATTTCAGGATATGCTCCACATACAGGTTTTAATATCAAACCTAAGTAAAATCAAATTTTCCATCAAGATAACACAAGGTAGCTTATAAGTTACTGGTGACTGTTCTTTGCTATTAGAATGAATTTAGCTGTGCATCTAATTTATTAATTCTATTACATATCTCCCTTACTCAAATGAACAGAATAGTACTTTTGGCAAAGGTGAAAAAGCAAAAGGAAAGTTATGATTTAAAGAGACACCTTTTGAAAACAGGTTGGAGTAAAGGATTTATATCCTGTGTAGCTACATCAGGTTTTTCAATATCTAGAGGAACAGTGACAGTTAGGCTTGCCAACTAAGTATATTACTCATATGCACACCTGACTAAAGTACGGAAAATATTTGCATGTTATAGCGGATACCACTGCTTTTTATTACATTACGTAACAAAGAAATGGCAGGATGAAGAAATGTCATTGCCTACAGTATCAAGGATTATGTGTCATTAAGAATGTAGGTATTAAGTTATAGGCTTTATAGCATGTGGTGCCGATACATATATAGAGTCATATTTTGAGTAAGAATTGCAGGAGCATCAGCTCAATATTACAAAAATAGTTGTAAAGTATTCAAGTGTTAATATTTTTTAAAAAAAACTTCTTAAGCGGTTACTTAGTTGTTGGGGTTTTTCTAAGTTTCCATTTTCCCTTCCAGCATTTAAACTGAAGCAGAGTCTGATAACAAGAAATTTAAAACTTCCCATTACTTCTTTTTTTGCTTCTGGGAGTGGGGGAAAGAAGGTAGAACTGAATACTATTCAATTGATTTGCCCTCGTCCTGCTTGAGGAAGTCACAAAAGATTTCAGAAACAATCAGAAGATTTTCAGAAAAGGAGAAAGTACAGAAAGAAGATGTGTTAAGATTTCAAACTAAGTGTAAAGTGCTTCAAATTCTGTCACCCATTTAGGAGGTATGATGAAGTTCCCCTATCAAAACTGATAAAATTAGAGGACAGTCAACCATTGACTGACAAAGGATTTGCCTCACTCCTGGTGATATTTTAAAAACCAAAACTTTCTCTAAGGAGTAAGTTGAGCCAAATGATGACTCCAAGGACCTCTAGCAGCAGAGAAGAGAGGAAAGTAACAACTTAAAGTAATTGCAATGATTTTCACATTCCGTTCAATGAGGTACACCCATAGTTAGGATGAGATGGCAAACTGAGTCTGCTGTTCCTCTCTAGACCTCATTCCTCTCCAGGCTGCCCTCCAGACTTTCTCCTCTGTGCCACAGAAATAGCTTGATCCTGGAAGTTCACTCCAGGCCTGGGATTCACATATTAGAAGTACTTTCTGCCCCTGTGGTCTCTCACACTGATTGGATGACTCCCTCCTAGAACCTCCATTTCAGGAGGGCACCCAGGCCAGCCGTGTCTCATTCCTCTCTAGGCTACACTCCAGATATTCTCTACCATTCACCTGCTCTAGGTACCTTCACCTCCCTTCCCCACTTTTCAACTTCATTTTATGAGTTGCCTTTCTTCATTAGAATGTAATTGCAATTCTTGTATTTGTACATAAGCACATAACAAGAGGCAGCTAGGTGGCACAGTGGATAGTGCCAGGCCTGGAGTCAGGAAGACTCCTCTTCCTGAGTTCAAATCTGGCCTCAGACATGTCTGGCTGTGTGACCTTGAGCAAGTCATTTAACCCTGTGCTAGAAAAGGAAATGGCAAACCACTCTTAATATTTTTCCAAGCCCCAAATGGGGTCACAAAGAGTCCCCATTCACCTAATTCCTTCACTTAATCTCAGTTCCCCTAGTCTCCTTATGATTATAATCCCTGATTTTCTGAGACAGTTCTGTTTTCATATATTCTGCCCTGTTGTTCCATAAGTGTCCCAGAATTTCCAGTGTTTCATCAAATTGCTACTGAATGAGTTAAATCCATCAGCCTTACAATGAAAATATTCAAAAGACACAAAAGATGGAAAATCAAAAATATAATGAATATCACAGCTATTCTAGAAAGCACATGCATACTAGACCAAATTATATATATTTATAACTGTGTATGTATTATGGGCACAGATGGTTTGGTAGGCAGCACAGCAGGGATGGCAATTGGCCATGTACATTAAAGAGATTCATTAAATATATAATTAAGTGATATTTAATTTGTATACTGTTGTAAGATTTTTGTTATAAATAGATTCCCAAGTCAGGGGGGAAAAATCTTTTGTAAGACACATACTTTTGGTTCAGAAAATCACTTTGAAGAACTCCTTGCAACCACTCCACCTCTAAGGAGCTGCCCAAAGTATATATAGATTAAATGACTTCCCTAAACTTACAACTAGTAAATATTTGAAGCAGGATTTGAATACAGAGTTTTCAGACTCCGAGCCCACCAAGGAGTGAGCATCTTCAAATGGATTCAGTGTTCCCATAGGCCAATCTAGAATAGCCAATATACCGTAGTCTATGCTACAAACATGCAGGCACAAGTTTTCTCCTCTCCTTTCAAGCTTCCATACTGCACTTTCAATTATCTGATTACATCATTTCACATTAAAAAGATGATGACTGTTCAGGGGAAGAGCCTTTTAAGTAGACACTAATCTTTTCAAAGGGAATCTGATCAAGGAGGGTATGCTTTACCATACCACAGAAGGCATAAATATGGGGACTATATTTTCAGAACCCAAAACTGGGATGCTTACTCCTTTTGAGAAGCCTCATTAAAAATGCATTTT